TGATTTAAGGAGTTACAAAAATTATTAAGGAGTTACAAAAATTAATTAAGGAGTTACAAATTTTTTTAGAACTATGAGTTACAAAACTTCACTAACTGTGTACAAAACTAGTCTAAGGAGTTATAAAAATTGAGTAAGGAGTTACAAAAGTTTTTTCCATAACTATGAGTTACAAAACTTCACTAACTGGGTACAAAAGTGATCTAAGGAGTTAAAAAAAATTAATTAAGGAGTTACAAAATTTTTTACAACTATGAGTTATAAAACTTCACTAACTGTGTACAAAACTAGTCTAAGGAGTTATAAAAATTGAGTAAGGAGTTACAAAAGTTTTTTCCATAACTATGAGTTACAAAACTTCACTAACTGGGTACAAAAGTGATCTAAGGAATTACAAAAATTAATTAAGGAGTTACAAAAGTTTTTAATAACCATGAGTTACAAAATTTCACTAACTAGGTACAAAAGTGATCGAAGGAGTTACAAAAATTAATTAAGGAGTTACAAAAGTTTTTTTCATAACTATGAGTTACAAAACTTCACTAACTGGGTACAAAAGTGATCTAAGGAGTTACAAAAATTAATTAAGGAGTTATAAAAGTTTTTTCCATAACTATGAGTTACAAAACTTTACTAACTGGGTACAAAAGTGATCTAAGGAGTTACAAAAATTAATTAAGGAGTTACACAATTTTTTTAGAACTATGAGTTATAAAACTTCACTAACTGTGTACAAAACTGGTCTAAGGAGCTATAAAAATTAAGTAAGGATTTACAAAAGTTTTTTCCATAACTATGAGTTATAAAACTTCACTAACTGGGTACAAAAGTGATCTAAGGAGTTACAAATATTAGTTAAGGAGTTACAAAATTTTTTAATAACTATGAGTTACAAAATTTCACTAACTGGGTACAAAAGTGATCAATGGAGTTACAAAAATTAATTAAGGAGTTATAAAAGTTTTTTTCTATAATTATGAGTTACAAAACTTCACTAACTAGGCACAAAAGTGATCTAATGAGTTACAAAAATTAATTAAGGAGTTATAAAAGTTTTTTCCATAACTATGAGTTACAAAACTTTACTAACTGGTTACAAAAGTGATCTAAGGAGTTACAAAAATTAATTAAGGAGTTACAAAAGTTTTTTCCATAACTATGAGTTACAAAACTTCACTAACTGGGTAGAAAAGTGATCTAAGGAGTTAAAAAAATTAATTAAGGAGTTACAAAAGTTCTTTAGAACTACGAGTTACAAAACTTCACTAACTATGTACAAAACTGGTCTAAGGGGTTATAAAAATTGAGTAAGGAGTTACAAAAGTTTTTTCCATAACTATGAGTTACAAAACTTCACTAATTGGGTATAAAAGTGATCTAAGGAGTTACAAAAAATAATTAAGGTGTTACAAAATTTTTTTGAACTATGAGTTACAAAACTTCACTAACTGGGTACAAAAGTGATCTAAGGAGTTACAAAAAATAATTAAGGAGTTACAAATTTTTTAAGAACTATGAGTTACAAAAATTGAGTAAGGAGTTATAATTTTTTTTAGAACTATGAATTACAAAAATTCACTAACTAGATACAAAACAGGTCTAAGCAGTTACAAAAATTAATTAAGGCTTCATGGAACATAATGTGCTTTGAGCATAAATCAACTAAAATTAATTTTTTCAGAACAATGGGTTTTAATAGTGCTTTCACCTCTACAATTTCATTCATCTAAAATGTAGAAGACACAAATGAGAGAATTTAAATTCAATTCAACAAAATAAGCCGAGTCTATTTTAACGCGTACATAATAATTGAGGTTAATATCACTGTCTTGACCATCAACTGAAAAGAGGAATTTATATGGATAATTATATCGATATACCTCACTCATAAAAAAGTTGTAATAATAGGAGGTATTATATTAAAAAGGCAAATAGCAACCCAACCACTTGTTTGTAAGACAAGTTGCAGCAAATATAAACACCACAAAATTCATTCTACACAAATTTATAGCCAATCAAGTTGATCGCCTGTATTGGAGGTAATCACCAAGATGATATTCATGTACATACAAGAGTACCAGTACAAAAGGAGGGAAATTGGAGCTAGTATTTAATAAGCTGGTTTCACCAGTTTAAAGTCTATAGTTGCATATCACAACAAGAGCGCAAGAACAAGAATGAAAATAGCAGTTACAAGACTGAAACCCAAGGTTTTTGGTTTTCCACCAAAATCTCTTTCAGTAGATTTCATCGTGTTCTTGGATTCTGTTACAGCACTTGTTGGATCTTCATGGATTATGTCCCAGAAAGATTTTGCCATTATAGAGGGAGCTTCGGTTTCTGGTTCTAATATTTCAGCATTTTCGATTTGAGATTCCATGGCCATCATCTCTTTACACCGGTCCTTTAGATCCTGTACGGAATGAAAGAAAAATGCAATAAGGATGCTTGATTTTGATTAGTACGTCAACAAACGATCTCAAACATTCTCTATACAAAGTACATTACTTTCAAGTATAGAAAATTTGCTAAACTAACTTAATAAATTAGTTTGAATAGGATGAGCAACACAAACCAAAAACACATTCTGATACAGTACAAAATATGTTCCTAGCAGCTTGTTTATTTTCATTGGACAGAGTTTCTAAATCCCCACTGCGAGGTGGAAATAATGAGTGAGTTGACGAGCAAAAGACAATGTCTATTTCATACAGAATCCAAGGAAAAAACATGTTACATGATAATTATATCTATAGAACATATACATGTAGATTAATTGTACCTAGTTCTTATAATTATCCAAGATGAAAAGCAGGTAAGAGAATATTTATAATTAGGCACTTCACACACATGAGGCAATAGGTGATTCGAATAATGTCTTACCAAGAAGATCATTTGGTTTAGCTTATATGAAATCCACATGGCAAGCTGAGCTTCTATCTGGGAAGAAATCTAGCAGATGCAATAAGGGAAAATGCAATAAGAAGGCTTTAAATTAGATTGAATAGGCAATATTTATCCTTTAAACTTATCACTTTTAATATTCAATATTCAGTTCTATTCTGAAGGGGAGAAATTCCCTCAAGTATAGAAAGAAAAGTTCTTTATTCTTGACTAAAGCCCAACTATTCGACTAAAAGAGGAAACGTTGTTGCTTTTAACTAATAACAAGTGGAAGAAAAACATACCTCAAAAGTTTCCCTTGGTTGCAGGTAATTACAAATAAAGATGCCGGATTGCCAAGGAACAAAAACTCTTCTAGGAAATGTGAGGCAATAAGGTTTCCTGTTGACAAAAGCGTTCAGTGAGCCAGTGAAGTTTCACAAACAGCATATGAAATGTGTTACAATGTCATGAGCATAAAAATTAATTAAGGTTACAAATATGCGACAGCTACATGGAACTTAATGTGCTTAGAGCATACATGAAAATACAAGGCTCTACCATTCTATGTAGAACCACCATCCTATGTTCATCTATTTTAGCTTTAAACCCATCCCAAGTGAAACAAATCAACAACACCTCATAATTGTTAAGGAGTAATATTTGAGTAAATACGTTGTGAATTACAATCGTCACAAATATGGTGAATCGCGTGCAGACAAGAGAGCTGCACAAAACTTTGCTCTGCACTTTGCACACTCTGCTTGTGAGATTGTTATTGATCGCTTTTCGACAATGCTGTTAATGAATTCAATCACAAAAATCCCACAATCTAAGGTTCTGCATTGAACAAAAAACATAATTATTAAATTGAAAATTACTTTGAGAAAAAAATGAACTAGTACAAAGGAAATACATGAAACACATACGGTCCTTGTTGAGGAGCGTCAACTGACACAATTTCATGGTGCTCTAATTTACCCATCGTCCAATTACTCTCTATGAAACTCATAAACTTATTCCTAAATTTCGCAGCATCGACGGTATAAAGGGGAGACTTGATTGAGGAGTAATGATAGAATTTTTTCTCCTTTCTCACTAACTCTACCATGTGCCAATGTCCGAAGCTGACAATTTGGATCAAAATTCATTCACACTCTAAAAACTTCAGCTGGGAAACATTTTCTTTCATTCGTTTTGCCATCATTTCAAGATTTCCTTCCAGAAATGCTTGCTATAAAGATGCATCAATGTTAGCAATGTAGGGTAACATAATAATAAATACCATCAACTAATGAAAAAAGAGGATATACTTACTGCAAGCCACGGTCTCGTAACATGTATATTTCGATCATAACTATTATTTATCTCAATCTTATAACAAAGTCGAATAACAAATGCATCGATGACCTACAAAAATTACCATGAATGGATTAAATATTTAATATAATCTAAATATATACAATATCAACCACAAACCATGACACAAATTAGCACCTACATCGTCACTGAGTTCACCTCCTGTTAAAAGTTTATAAACATCTAAGTGAGATACAATTGCTTTGGCACATTTCCAAACATATGTATCACTATATGCAAGTACGTGTGAGAAAACTGTGACTAAAAATAAGTAAATTTAAAGAATTATTATTAGAATAAATCATTAACAGTTACCTAGTCATTTTCAATTGTAGAAAGTTGTCTATTAATTTGTTCTCATAATCATATACCAGTGTCTTTCCTGGATAACTGCGAGATCTAGGTATGAAGCCTTCTTCATTTATGCACTTATTTTTATTAGGCCCCTCAGGACTATCTAATATCTGGATAACGCGTTTGTTCTTTGTGCCTTCTTTAGGTTGATCTAGACGCATATATGGGGAAGTAACAGAGGGTCCATCCTTCCTCTTCCTCTTTCTGACAGCCCGTTTGATAGATGGGGTTTCTCTTTTATTATCATTACCATCTTCCTCATTTTGAGAAAAATCTCTAAGGAGTTGAAATGCATATAATTAACAAAGAGTTGCATAATTATTTATACGAAAAGTTAAAAAAGCAAAATCTAAAGATAATAGAAACTCATAATCCTCTAAAATACTAACTCACTGAGCAACCTTTCATGGGCTCATCACAAATTCATCATCATTATCGGCTTCCTCATTTTCTTCTTTAAAATTTTCCTCGAAATTGTTTTCATTATCCTCTACCTCTTTGTCTTCCACATTCTCATAATCATTAGTTTTTGTATCCTCTTTGCTTTTATTCTCTTCATTTACATTTTCCTTATCCTCTTTCACCTTGTTCTTATTTATGCCTCTAGCACCACGCTCTTCTAATTCTCGTAATTTAGTAGTGAGCTCCTTCAACTCGGATGTCTTCCTCGCAATTATTGCAATCAATTCAGCTTTCCTTGATTCCTATAACACAGAAAAATATACAAGTATTAGTACTCATTCTATAGTTGTAGAAAAAGATATTTAAAAAAGAAAGGAACATAAAAAATAATGAACTATTAGAGCAAAGATGTGTACAAATGCTTCTGGTGATACCCTGCGAATAAGAGGAGTATTCTTTTGGCCAATATCTGTAAGAAACTTCGGATCTCTGAATAATTTGTTCATAGTAGTCCTCTAATTCTCCCACTTTCTAGTATTATTAACACAAAAGATCAGCGGTAGCCTTTCCATATCTGAAGTATACTCTAATTCTCCCACTATTTCATAAAACCAAACCTACAAAAATAATATACATTATAATGTGCATAAACACTAGTCATTGTCAAAAAAAGTTTTACAAAGTAATTCTCATGTAACTCACTAGTAATACGGAGGAAAAACCAACCATGTAACCAGCGTATGAACGCTCCCCTAAGATCCTCGAACTAAGTGACCTCTTCGCCTTATTCATCTCTTTGCAAAGAAAAGTAAACATCGCAAGACACCAATTATATTTCTTTAAAGTGGACAGGTGCTCTGCATATCGAAACGCCCACAAGGGACATGTCCTACATGTCCGCGGGCATAATATAAAGCCGATAATGAAAGCCACAATAAGTTTCACACATGTTACAGGGTCTTTATTAGTTATATCTGTTGGCCTTCTTGTTTTGATGATGTTTAACAAACAATTTATTACTAATGTTGTTTGTCTAGTGTTTGTACATTCCTATGTTTTGTAGACAAACAACGTTGTTGGAGGATGGATGGATTGCGCCATAACGACGATATCAAATGGAGGTTGGCGGAATTGTGGAGTGAAGCAACATACAATTCAAGTTAAAGATCAAGTTCAAGCTTCATCCGCAAAGATTACCAAGTCAAGCATATTGAAGACCAATCAAGCTTGGGTAATTTAGTTTAGGAGTTTATATTATGTGTGTTATATACTCTAAGCTCAATTATCTATACACACACATTTATTATTGGTTTCTTCGTATATATATATATATAGTCATATATATATATATATAAGTTTTGGTTTCTATGCATATATATAGTTATATATATACATACATATGTTTTGAGTTTTTATGGTTATATATATGAAATTCTATATTTCATATTTTCTATTATGTTTTTGAAAACATTGCATAGAATATGCAATTTTGTGAAAATATTGTATTCTTAGTTTATAGACTTCAATATCAGTTTATACATGTTTTACTAAGTCTACAAAAACATTTCACAAAGTTTCAAAAGTTGGTTTATGTCAAAACATCAAAATTCAAGTATCTCATATTTTCATGTTTTGGACTAGTTTGTAAAATGATGATATTTTTCATTTGGGAAGTCCTTTTTCGAAACCAGTCGTTGTAGCATGTTTATTATCATGTCTACAATCATTCCCCAAAGTTTTACATTTTTTGGAATTTATTTGATATTTTTAAACAGGGTTTTAAAATCAGCTCTAAAACCGATTTTTTCTGGAATGTCAGTTTTCGGTCGACCGGTACGGTCGACCGGTCAATTGACCATTCGTCAGTATTTTTCCAGAGAATCGTCGGTCGACCGGTCCGGTCGACCGAGAGCTCAAATCGGTCGACCGACAGAATTTCCGGTCGACCGACGATGGTCCAGAACGTTTTCTTCGTGTTTTTGCTCTCATCGGTCGACCGACGGGATTTTCGGTCGACCGACAATATGACCGTTGGACTTCTAACGGCTATTTCTGAGCTGACTCTTCTGGGGCATTTTGGTCTTTCTGTTTTGGGGTTTTTGCTGAGATTTCTAGTGGGTATATATACCCCATCGCTGATGTCTTTTCAGTCAGTTAAGAGAGTTTTAAAATAAGTTTAAGAAAGTTTTAATCAAGGGTTTATGTTTGGTTTAAGTGTGTTTATAAGCTTTTAAGCATTTGAGTGTTTTGGTTTTGTGAATCACTTCCACAAGAGCTTGAGGAGATCATCTATTGGTGTTTGAGCATCCAACTCTTCTCCTTCCACTCTTGATCTATTGAGAAGTTTTCTAAACTCAATCTAGCTTCATATTTTATATTGTTTGATTATCTTTTTATTAAGCTAGTGTTCATATTGAGTTTAGTTGATTTTATTATCTCTTTGTTCACACACAACCTATTGAGCTTATTGTATTTACATTCATAGTATAATTGGGTTGTGAGATTGTGTATCTTAGAGAGTGAGCTTACAATTCGTTCTCATCCATTGTAGAGAACAAACACTTTGTATTGAGCCTTAATTGTGAGGATACACTTTGTAATACACTTGTACACCAAGAGAGAAGTGTGTGGCGAGAGTCGGGGATCGTCCCAAGAGGAGTGGGGTAGGTGACGAGAGGTTGTAATTCCTAACACTTGAGGGAGACACGTCTAGTTCCAACACTTAGTGGGTGTAGAGTGTGATTGCAAGAGTGTTGATTGTAAAGTTTTCGGTTAGCTAGAAAACCGAGTGTGAGGTGTAAACGTTATTCGGGTGAACGTAGAAAACCCGGTTGTGATAGTGGAGATCTCCTCGAGGTGAGGAGCGGGGACGTAGGTCGTGGGGACCGAACCTCGTAAACATATCGTTTTGTTTGTGATTGCATTGGCGTTCTTATTCTTGTTTTCATATCTTATATCGCCTTTGTGTATTGCTCATCATATTACCCTATCACTTGTGTAGATTGTTTATTTTACCCTTGTGTTAGTTCATATATCCTTGCTCATATATTTGTAATATCTCATTGATAGGATATATTCATTTGTTCATATTGCTTATCCTAGCTTACGTATCTTGTTGTATTTTATACTTGCTAGGATAACTTATTAATTAGTTTTAATTGGCATTTAATCGGATTAGATTAGCATAAGACCCTAATCACCCCCCCTCTAGGGTCTAACAATTGGTATCAGAGCTTGGTGCTCTTTGATTTAAGGTCTAATCGCCTTGAGTTAAAGATCCAAGTTATCTATTTGTGCTAATCTTGTTATGATTGCATTTGTCTTGCTTGCATATGTTCATATATATATCTTGAATATGAATGTATTTTGTTTAGGCTATAAATCCAATGTTGCTCCTAAATTCATTAATTTTTCCTATGCACAATGGGCTTCTAGATTTAAAATTTTTGTGCAATCTAAAAATATTGATTTATGGGGAATTATTGATGATGCTTATATTGCACCCACTTTGGAGAAATCCAAGTGGAATAAAAATGATCATCGCATGTTTACTATGAACAACATTTTGTTAGAATATTTGTTAAATGCTTTTAACTCATCTATGTCTAACAAGTTTGTTCATTTTGATAGTGCTTACACCTTATGGATATTTATAGAAGCACATCAAGGAGACTTGGAGGCGATCCGACAAGCTTTGGAGGATCCCGCTTCAAGTTCATGTGGAGCATCATGCACACGGCCACTAGGCGATAGCCCTAGTGAGGTTTGCGAGTTCAAATCTATTAATGATTTACCTAATGATGAACTTGCTTGTGCTAGTGAAAAATTATTACATGCCTTTAACAAATTGCAAAATGATTTCATTAATTTACAAAGCAAGCATGAAATTTTGAAATCCGATCATGAGTTGTTAGCATCTAAGTTTGAAACTATTTCTAATGAAAATGTGATCCTTAAAGAAAACAATGAAAAATTAAAATTGGATCATGTTTCTTTAACTTCAAACGTTGCTAGTTTAACTCATGAAAGAGATAATGCCATGTTAGAAGTAAAGAACATACAAAATAACACTGCTTCTTTTATAAATGACTACTTATGTTCTACTTCTAAAAGTGCATATGTGCCTAAAAATGAAGACTTGAATCTTATGAAAAATTGCATTTCATCTTTAGATTCAACTTTGAAAATATGCATTGATAACCATAAGAAACTTATGGACAAGTGTGCTAAATCTAGTGCTACAAAATCACCCACACACTATGCACACTTGTATAGCAAAGTTTACAAGTGCTCCATTTGTGGTCGTAAAGGCCATTTAGCTAAATTTTGCTATGATGCACAAAAACATAAGAATATTAATCCTTCTTGTGCATCTCATCAAGTTTCTTCATCACATGTACACACACATGCACCCATTGCTCATCATAAGCATGCTCATGTGTATAGATGTGATCATTGTGGTAGATTTGGTCATTTGGCCAAATTTTGTTTTGATTTAAAGAGAGTTTCACATTTGCAAAATAATTTTAAAAGATCATCCATGTTTGCAAATGTTTCTAAAGTTTCCCGTGCACAACCGTTTGGTCAACATAAGCAAATGCTTCCTTTCCATTGTACTTATTGCAATCGGAAGGGTCATTTGAGTAATTTTTGTTATGACCGTGTTCGTGCACCATATATGCCTAAGAGGGTTCATAACCCTAAGGCTTTGAGCTTTATTGATAGGGGTCATGTCCCTAAACAATCCGGCACCAAGAATACTTGGGTGCCAAAATAATTTTTAAGCCAAGAATTTTAGTACTTTTATTTTTCTTTTTCTTGGTTTCGAAAAATGTATTTTAAA